AACCACAACTGTCCTATTGGGCTCCGGTCTCGTTCGTTTCCATCAAACTGTCGAACCGCAAGTCGTGTCTCGAGGGAGGGGGGAGGGGTTTCTATCTTCTTTTCCGTTCTATAGCTTCCGCCAAAAGTGGTTGTTCGCCTGAATAGGTTGAGTCAAAGTGATACGTGGGCATGTATCTCTGCACTGACATTATTTTGGGATTTCTGAGATAACTGCGACAAATGTACAGAGCTCTTCTATTTACCTCCTAACTTTCTTCAAAAGAATTCATACCAAGAAAACATAGGAAGTGTAGAGTATCACGCTTGGATTAGCCCATTCGATTGTTCAGAGGCACCGGGCACTCTTGAATGCATTTGAACAATCGCCCAAGGAGTGAAACCCACACCCAAAGCCATCAAGAGTGCCTGGTGCCTCTGAACAATCGAATGGGTTAATCCAAGCTTGATACTCTAAATTGATTGAGCCATTCGCACAAGGTGATGACCGTTGATCGTGTGTAGCTCAGGGGTAATGAGTTTGAAGTCCCGACCCAAATGCTCGCGGTTCGAGTCCTGACCGGAGGGACAGATAAAATACGTGCACTGCTGACGAGTGCCAAACAGGACAGGAAACAGTTACTGTCCAGTGTTCTTTGTCGGTTATCTCAAACATATCCATCGTAGTTGAGCATCTTTAGGATGAATTATTCATTTAATCTTGATTGGTCATTCGACCTCCTCCGGCTCAACCGAGTGTTATCTGCGTGCTCAGCTGTCACGGTTCACTGGCAACAGTACAGTCTTGAACAGAGTGTCAATCACCGTTTACTGTGTTCTATCCAGCCACATTATTCGGGAATGGGCAACTGAGACCGAACATGCGACGCGCCTCGGTTCGAGTTCACACAACTTTGATAGGCTAGCCGTGCTGGAGATTCAACGCGGCTGTGCATGCCGGGGGAAAGTTGAGCTCAGATGGATGCGAACATTTATTTTAATCTTCTCAATCACTACAACGTAAAACAAATTGGTAGTTATACAAGAAAGTTTTAATCACTACAATGATCTAACGGGCAATAGGCAGAGGAAGAAGATCAGATTCAGTATCATGATAATTTGAACAAACAACGCAACACTGCAAACAAGCACGATTTAATTCCGGAATCATTTAACTGCATCTCAACTGGTACTGACTGACTGCAAAAAAGAAAATAGTCTATATATCTCACAGTTCATGACAATCTAATATGGTATGAGTTCATTCTTCCGTTTACGTGGTTACCAGGGCAACGCCAGACTGATGTAGACCTCCTTTTGCTGACGAGGTAGAGGCTTTCGGCGCTTGATTGCTATGATATGTGCAAATCTTAGCAGCCGTCCATTCGGGGTTGTGCAAACAATCCGAAACGAAGTCCCACGATCAACTGGGTGGCCAGTCTGCAGCAGATGGCGAGCAATTGATGAAGCATATGCTCTATGAGGTTGGCTTGATGGCCTGGTTGTGTGTGTAGCGCTCAATCTCACCCGATCGCGTTCGACCCACACCGGTATGTGTTCAGGCACTCGGGTAAGCAGCTGCATCTCTGTTCTGCCCACGTAGGTAGCTCCGCACCCACATTGAAATTCATAGATTATATGCGATTTGGCGGACAGAAGGAGCGGTGATTTCACCAAGGGCTTCGGAATCTGAGTTGTTGTAATGTATTGTATTGTGTATAACTTTTGCAAGCACTGGAACTCACATATCAGTTAAAAAGCATACACGCTAACAGTCACAATGCACATAATCAATGGGGAGAAAAGTTTTTGCAGGCATTAGACATGCATAACCAAGGTTAAGTCGCTCTTTGTTTGTGAGTAGACGAGCAAGATACGGTATGGGTGAATTGCGGTATGCATTTATTCGAGATGAAATTTGACGGAATTGGGAGCGTGTTGAATGATGGGAATGGCAAAGTGTCAGTCCTGCATGCAATGGGTGGTTCGGATCTGTGAGGATCCTCTCGGCAAATTTCACATAGGAAGTTACGTGATACTCGGAAAGCTTCACAGCTAATTCATTCACAGGAATGGAAGAGACACGACTAATAATGGTTAGATCGCGTCGTAAGACTTTGAAGTCCTGTTTGAGTAAACCAGGAAAAATAACCGGGGAACAGTAGAGTAAGATGGGGAAAACACATTGAT